AAAAGTCGACCATGCAAGTGCCATGAGTCATAACATTTCATCAATAACAAGAAAGCAAGGCTGGGTGGAGGCTGGGACTTTTTGAGCGACCCGCCATTTGACATGGGTAGAGATGGTTTTCAGTCATGTAGCACACAGGGAAGTACACAAAGGCCTGGAGGTAGAGCTTAGATCCTCTGGACTCTAGTTAAGTAAACAATTCAAATTGAAAGCATTGCTAAAGTGAGCCCAAGCTGAGCATCTAACCGCAATTTATATTTTATTTTATATATCGCCAAATCTTGGGGGCCGCGGAGAGCGGCCCCCAAGATTGTAATATGCAATTACAATCTTAATTTTTTAACCTTTTTTGTGCCATTTGTCTAATGTTTTGTGAAGTACCCTCTGTGTTTCATTAATGTCTAATGAGCTTTTCATTAGAATTCAACTGTGACTTATCCACGCAAGATTAGAGGCAACACAAGGTTTAACAGTGGTAATGATCCTCATGCCAGATCCAGCTGCAACAATATAGAACGTTATGAGAACATCAATGCAAAGAGTGGGTGTTGATCTTTGGAAATGTCACGCTCGACTCCACGAGGCTCGACTCGGACTTGTTATTCACTCGTCCCCCAACCTGTTTGTTTCCCACTGTAATATTCAACAGCGCTACCTTATTTAATTTCCGGACACAGCTTGTTCCCGGCAAAAATAACACAGGCAAAAGAAAATTGTAATTTCACAACACATCATTGAGCATGTCCCTGTTATGTGTGCCATGTGTTAACTTGCCTATACAATCCAGAAAAAGCAGTTTAAGCATTGTATTGTGTCTCTTGATATCTGCTTTACCTGCATTAATTAAGGGGAATGGCGGCGGCGGCGGCAGTTTGGCTGCTTAGCGATAATGAGGTGCAGTGCCAAGTATGAATAACAAGAGATTGACCATACGCGAGGGAGACGCAGCTAAATGAATACTGAACATAGCACAGACAATGGCCATCTTAAAATTAATGATTGAAGAGGTATGGGCTGTAATAAACAAAACAAAATGAATGCCGAACAGAGAGACGATTAGACCGCCACATCTGGCGACGCGATGTGAATGGGTACCCCGCCACTGTAAATACAGAGCTGGCGTAACCCCTCCCTGCCTGAATGTTGAAAGAGAAATAATGCCCATTCCCACTGTCAGATGTTTTCAGGAAATGCCTCACGCTGGCCCATTGAGTCTGGGAAACCCCCCAGAGATAATTATGTTATCTCTCTGATTCAATTCCTGGGCTATTTCTCCGTCCACATCAGTCAATCTCTATCCTTCTGATCACGTACCACAAGGCAAATCTTCAAGTCCTTTTATGAAGAGCCCAGACTCTTGTATTAAAGGAAGGAGTAATTATACAGGAGAGAGAAACGTCATTTCATCTGGACGGAGGGAGAAAAGAGGCAGAGTTAGCGTTTGGTAAAGATTTTTTGGGTTGTAGTTGAGCAGAGTCTGTTTATCTCTCTAAATGACTTTAAATATTCAATGTGTAATAAAAAATACATTTTCTCATCCATATTTAAACATCAATACATTTTAACTGAAACTGATTGAAGAAATGTTCCCACGCCGTTTTTTCCTTCCGATACAATTCCTATACCTGAACTATCAGAGAACCAATCTGATACCAGTGCATTTGAAAAAAGAATAACTCCTCTAATGTATTTTAATGCTGTGTGCCACTTACCCTGTGTGGAAGTGACGTTGACCTGGCTTTGAAAACCAAAAAACAATCTCATTTTATTCTCTAGTTTAACTGTCATAAAGTGAAAAAGAACACAAATAAATAAACCTAGGAATACACAAAACTGCTAAATTACTCCAAAATGGATCTTGTGATGACATTGTTCCCAATTAACTTTTGATCTTAAGAGTGTTTTGAAAATATATTTACTGTGTTCCTCCCACACAATGTTCCAGGCAGCCATTGGCCTCTATAAACATCAACATGGTATAAAAGACACTTTCAGAAAACTCCAACTTGCTTGCAGATAATCAGTAAAGTGTGTTGTTGCTGTGCAGCGTTATTTGTCTGTAATTGCCAGCTCCCCACGTCTCACCAAAAACATTTAACTGAAAGCAATGTTTTTGCAAGTTTTTGAATGGGAATGCTGGTAGATTAACTTGACAGGGACGGTGCACACCCTGCATGCAGCTATACTGATCTGTAATCTGTGTTATCTCCAGTGCACAAAGGTGAAATGATGCTCTGTTCACTCTACATGGGAAGTCTTGCAGTCCCCATGCTTGTTCCGTCCCACGTGTGCATCTCCTGTTTGGTTTTCTCCCTCTCATCACCACTGACACTCACTTATGCCCTCGTTCTTACCTCTGTCAGTTGCAAAAAGAAAAAAATGCCTGCCTGCTCTGTCTGTCTGACTCTGTGTCGCTCCCTGTTTTTTGCCCCCCCCCCCCCCCGTTACGTTTCATGTCTGCTTAGCCACGGGAATCTTTGCTGACGTCTCCGTCCTGCGCCCACAGTGACAGAGAGAGATGCTCCTGAGGTGTGGGGAGATAAGAAAGAGGAGACAATCGCATTAAGACTCACTTTACCCCCACGACCAAGACCAGAGGTTGGGATTTGAATGTGAGACTCGCTGCGTTTTAAATCCCTGCAAGACCGTTTGTGCGTTACCCACGAACCGGGCACGCAACCTCGTGCACGTGCAGTAAAGCAAATGAACACACCGTCGTTAAGGGAATAACATGAAGGCACATGCACAAAAAGCACCATGGAAAGAGTCTTGGAGAGGAGCACCGTGGCGGTTGCCATCATAGCAGTGGAGCTGTCAGTCCTACAGTGTAACATGCTGTTCGAATCCATGGGTGAAGCCTCTTGACATCAAAGGTGGCACACAAAAGCATCCGTGTTTCCGTTTATTGTTGTCTGCACCTGTCAAAATGGTGTGTTTCCCTTTTTTTTTTTTATGTGTGTTTTATGTGCTGCTCCTGCACACCGGCCCTCCTGCTCTGTAGCACCACAGAGACCCCTGGTGGGATTGGGACGCATTGCAATATGTGTGTGTTGGTGTGGATGTGTGTGTGTGTGTGGGGGGGGGGGGGGGGGGGGGGGGGGGGATCCAGGAAAGATGTCAGTGACACCTAAACACACACACACGTACACACAGCGTCTCACAGTTGGGACTTGCTTTTTGTCTCTGTACAAAAGACGAGTCCCTATAATGTGGCTGTATAAAGAGACGTAAGTCCCCACAACACGAGTCAAACCTTGACCACACACACACACAGCTCTTATCTCTCAGCTGTGGGCAGCGTCTCTGTTGGGGCCTGGAGACAAAATGCAAAACTGTCCCCTCCAACTTGGGGCCTTTTTTTTTTGGGCAATCTCCGAACCAGATTTTCTCCATTAAGGCTTTCACTATCGTATGAGCACACCAGTCTGCACTAGAGGGACAAATTAGAGCAGGCCTTGGTAAAATAAAATGCCTATTATCTTTGAACTAGCAAGTACCCAATTATGCACCGCAGTTATCTTCCATCTCTCAGACTTCTGAGTCCTCGCCACAGGGCCAATGAGCAAGGAGTGCTAATGAAGAGCTGCTGAATAACCTTTTTGCCTTCCTGGATGCACAACCACTGGAGCCTCCTTGATCGTTGGTGGATTTTTTTACAGATCAGAGTTATTCCCCCTTGCTTTGATGATGTGGTTCTTTTTTCTTTTTTTTTCCTCCCTCCTGTCGAGCCTGTGGCGGGATAGGCCGCACACTCATGCACCAGCTGCAGTGGGTGCGTGATAAGTGTGAGAAAAGAATGAGATGTCTCTAATCCACAGCGAGAGAAAAAAAAAATTAGCGTTGTTCGAAATGAGCCGGGCAAGAGAGACAGACTCCTCCTGATGTGGAGGCAGGGGGTTTGTCTGTCGATATGCATTTCCGGTGCAGTTCCTCGGCACTTACAGGAACACTGCCCCATTTTTTTTCTTTCTCTTCAGTTTTTCTGTCGTCTCCCAGTTTTCAGGGCCCCTGCTTTAGCTACACACCAAACAGAATTTCAAAAAAAATTCAATTACAATAAGCAAATTCTAATTAACCATATAATGGAACCAGATGTTTTCTCATTTCACTATGAGTGAAATTTAAAGCCTGAAAGATGTAACTTTCTCTTTCACATAGCCGTAATACAGCATTGACCTCTGCTGGCACAAAGCATAAACACCCTTTATCCTCTCATGACATAAGCGTGAAAAACGTTCTTATAGCATCTCTGTAGATTGTGAAATGATGGTTGAATTTATCTAGTTCAACAGACCCACATATACAAATGACGTAACGGACACAAGAGGATAATGTGTTAAGTGAACTCCTGCTTCGTGTGCACAGAGCAGGAAAAATAGAGTGTGAACTGTGAGTTTTACATGTGAATTAATTAATTAAACACTACTGCCGTACTTGTGTTTTGTGAATCCTCCATTCCTGCGAACACCCAGCGATTGAAGTCAGCAAGTGGGGTCAGACAGAGTCTGCTGACGAGTACGAGAGCTTTTACGGAGGCACAGAAGTGTTGTGAAGTTGCCGCGCAAGAGGGTTCAAGAGAGCGTTTTAAAAGTTTGAGAGGCCAGCAGGGAAAGCGAAAAGGGTCTGGGATGGTGTAAGATGGCCCCTTTGGAGCCTGAGAGATGGTATCTGAATTGGTGGAATCAAGGAGGATATTACAGAGTTTTGAAAGGAGAAAGAAGGGGTTTATTTAACGGAAGTGCCCTGTGTTAGAGGCAGGCGATCGTTCCATTAGAGGGGCACTGAGAAAAAGTAGCTGCTGGCTATGCTGAACCAACACCTGTCTGTCTCTGAGATGGAAGAAATACAAGGGGAGGAATCATTCAACACACATCATACAGGGAAAAGCCACGAGGAGCAAATAAAAAATTGCACCTTGATGAATCAAAGTTTTTGGTTTTTAATGTCACGTTTTAAAAATCTGGACCCTTGTTGAATTAGTCTTAATTTGTCTCTCACAGGAAGTCCCGTCAACCTGACATGCCGAGCGTTCTTCGGATACAGCGGTGACGTCAGTCCGCTCATCTACTGGATGAAGGGGGAGAAGTTTATCGAGGATCTGGACGAGGAGCGCGTTCAGGAAAATGACATCAAGTAAGATTTTAAGGTTAATTGTTGTTGAGTGTTAGGATTTATGACTAAAAGCTATGACATATGAAACAAGTTTAATAGAATTTTAGACACATCTCAGCAAAAGCTAGTTCAGACAAATTACAGCCTCCAAAATTATCTTTTGAATAAATCAGCAATTCAAATTCATTTCAGACTTCAAATTATTATTATTCTGAAACCCTTTACTGTATTTCAGCGTTGTTGCATTATACTGTATTAGCTTAACCTTAACAGGTTATGTTATAGAACATTTTTATCTGACTTAAAACAATTTCTTGAGTTTTTGCATGTGAAATAAAAATATTAAAAAAATATTAAACCTGCAACAACTCGATTTAGGGTTATTGAAATTAAAACAAAATATTAAACAGCCTAAACAAAATGCAATATGATGCATGGGGTAACGTTACACTACTGAACAGGAGTAGAGCATAAATGACTTGTTCCTGGTGCCTGTCTGTAATCCTAAAATGTAATCCTAATATATCATGCCTGGCTGGGGATAAAGAGTAAACACAGTGCTGTCTTGCTGCGTTTTAAACAAAGCGCTCCAGGATGCTTTTGCTTCAAGTACCATGCATCGCTGTTGTGCCGCTGTGATAAGCCATTTCCAATTTGCAGAGCTTTGGTCTCTGTCTCAAAAACTCCCACACGTTAGATGATCCTGTGCGAGCAGTTTCTCTTCCAGGGAATCTTTTCAATGTCAAGGCACGACCATCTTTGTGACGCACACTTGTCGTAATCAATTATGTCGATTACCCAAGCTCTAATTTAGTCACCTACTTTTACGTTTCTCCACAACCACTCATCCATAACTTAAAGGATCCAAGGACTTTGACTGAGCAGGGATTTCTGGGTTTCTTCTGCAGGACTAGTTTAGCAACCGTCACGCTGTGGTTGTGTTTTAGACACGGTTACCCTGGTAACAGCAAGTGCAAGTTTACAGTTTAAAATAAATGGGGGACACTCTGTCCGTGCAAACATAAAATAATTCATAGAGGTCACTGCCCATCGAGCTGGAGCGTGACCTCTGGTTCCCTCTAACGAATGTAGGAATCTCTTCATTTCCTCAACAAGCTCTTGTCCGACATCAAGTTCAAACTTCACACGAGCTTCACGGAGGTCAAGAGGAAGTGTAGAGTCTGCTGTGTGAGTGTAGTCGAGAAAACCTCCCATTTGTTTTACAGCTGAAACCGTAAACCACTGTTACCACGGTAATCACTTTATCTGTCGCTGATGACATTATCAAATGTCATTTACAGCTTATTAACCGACACTTATTTTGCGTTTGCACAGTAACTGCTCGTTCCCCAAAAACTTCACAGAACCAATAGAATTAACAATACATAGAAAGGTAGATAGAAAGAAATAATGATGCATAGATAGATAGATGGATGGATGGATGATTGACAGACAGACGGACTGACGGATAGGTGGATGGACAGGTAGATAGATAGATAGAAAAATCAATAGAAAGAAAGAATAATGCATCGATAGAAAGATGACAGAGAGACGGATGGATGGATGGAAATGCAGTGCTTTAGGCTGGCTGCTGTTTTCAGAACCATGGACAGCTCTAGGTGCTTACGTGGCTCATTTGTATTTACAATAAATGTATGTGTGACTCAATACGTCTAAAACCTATAATACAGAAAATACTTTAAACCAAAACAGTGATTGTTTATTGATGTCTTTTTGTGTATATATATAATCCTCACAATCCGCACAATCATAAAAAGCAGCATAGGAGCCACCACTGACCCACATTTAAAATTATATTCATGCTCTATGTGCCTGTTCAATAATGCAGACACCTATGCATTCTTTATCAAGTACAATATGTATATGTGCGGTGCAGGCAATTGAAATATAAGTGGAGGGAGTAATAGCTGAGCAGCACATGGAAACTCCAATTGAATGTCCGCATTGGCTTCCTCTTCCATTTGAGGCGACCTCGCAACCATCCAGGATGTTCTGTTATTTAAAGAGGAGCTCTCTTTGCTTAAGGTTTTGTGGCATTCCGGTCTCATGGGAAAAATAACAAAATGTTCTCTTCAGCTGTCAGGTGATAAGTAGAAGAGAGATCTTGAGTTTAACCAGCAGAGAATTACATTTAAAGTACTAGAATGGCACATTTAGATTCACTAGATCCAGATTTTATTTGCATCCACATCAAACTGTATACAGTCACTGATGTAAGTGCCCTAAATATTTCGGATGAATTTTCATCTATGGAAACCAGAGAAAATCCTGCCAAACAAAATTAACTGTTCTTCCTTTTGTGGTTTTGCAAAATCAATTTAACGATCAACTTTGAGATTCATTCATTTGTGTTTGGAACAGTGATGCTCGTTATCAAAAGATTTAATGTGACAGCATCATGTTTGAAAAAGTGGAGGAAGGGCACTTTGAGTTATAGCTTGAATCTCTAGAAAGTCACTCAGGACCATTTAAACTAAAATGAAGCTTAAACAAACAACAGCAACAACAAAATCCTCCTGTCAATTGTGGACATGAGTACAAACAACAGGAATATGTTGGCATAATACATGATAACTTTAAGCCAGCGAGTAAAATTACAAACATAATAACAGAGATGTACAGTATAATAAAATACGGACATTTGTTCGACCAAAATGCTACATGTGTAAGGAAGGGTTCCCCAAATTTAGAGGTACAACATTCAACTATGGATTATTAGAAATGTCAGTTAAATATTACAAATGTTTATTTGACTCTTTCACATACAGTACAAATGTGTAATGTTACATAATGCAATGTCCTGATAACTGTAGAAAGGACTGGTTTCAACCATTTGTTGACTGTTTACTTATTTTAAAGTAATTTTTTGTTCGTTAATTGTGTCTCCACACACGTCTCTCATGTCCCTCGTCGCTCGACTCTTTCACACGACGAGAAAATCCCTGTTGTGGACCAAAGGAATCAAATGAAAGGTTAACAGTAAGCAGCATGACAAGGCCGGGGGGAGAGTTAGTGGCCCAGCCTGTGACCTGGCATTTCAAGATGTCTCTGTTAGCCTGCTAGCACGATCCATCCCGCGCCCAGCACTGCGCTCTGTCATGAAGGACACCGGGCCAATTAAAGCCTGGAGGATTTCGAGGGGTGGTGGAGGCGTGTTGTGGTATAATAACAAAGAAAGAGCGCTGAGGAGTGCGTTTGTAAACCCTGCCTTCATATGATAGTTAAATGAGGTAGCAGGCCAAGAGATCAAAACCTTGACCCTGAGCTGCTTTGAATGTGTTTAAGTGTGTTCAGGGGCAGAAATAAAGAGGTCCACAATATGTGCAGTATTTCTGCTGTGTGCCTCCCCGTGATATCGTCTCCCTGTGTGTTTTTATTTGTTTTATTTATTTATTTTGCTCCTATTCGAATGTGCACCACTTCAAACCCACTCTCTGACAACATTCCATGAGCTTTTAGCTTTGAAATGGAAATTAATCACACAGGAGTATTCCCAGAAGGGCCGCCTGTAATACATGAAATGGAGCTTTTGGCACAATGTTGCACCGCTGAGATTCCGAGTTGATATAAAATAGTTTGTGGCTGCCGAACAAGACTTCATAGATCTCGGAGGTGAAGTCGCAGCATGGAATACAGACATAAAGGCCGTGCTGCTCAAGTTTAAGAAATTCCTGTCCCTGGTGCAAGGGCACGCAGGCCCCTTTTAAGCAGCCGTAACAGTGTAAAATTTTATTAATGCTCCTACAGATATATTCATGGAGAAAATATGCTTAGTCATCTGAGATTTAGTGGTTGAATGGAGAAACTGTCTAGAGTAGAGGGAGACTAAAGGAGGGTTTTTGTGAGATTTCGATGAGATTCTGTTGTTTTGTGCGTGTTGTGATCGCCACCTGGTGCCTGGCTGCAGTATAAGTTCTATCTTCTCCATGTTAGTGGGTGGGGCATAGACAAAACAAAAAGTACATGTCAAATAAATGTGTCTTAAAGAGATCGGTTGGGGGTGAGCAAAGAAAAAGCGGAGGTGAGGAGAGATGGTCGGAAAAGAGGGGAGAGAAGAGAGAGCGATAGTGGGGAAGGGGAGGAGAAGGACAGTCAAGAACAGCTGACCTTTACCTTGATAAGCGCGAGGAATTCTCAGCATGCTCATTTTCCATTTATCTGTTTTCTTGCGGGTCAGGGTCACAACAGGAAAACAACAATCCAGACATCTATTCAAAAGTGTTTTTCTTGCTCCTCGAGGGCTGGATCATGCATGAACAGGCTTCCCACTCATCCACCATACCAAATAAGTTCTCTTGTAGGGTACGTCCAGTGGGTCATCTCTACCAGAGTTATCAGAAGAAATACGTGTTAGAAAGCCTGCAGACCTGAGCGTACATCAGTGTATTATTTTTTTCCAGGCTGCATTATCCATTGTGAGACATCAACCGAACACTGGAGCGCTTCTCCTACAAAGTGACACAACACCGTTGCATAAACATGCCAAGCCGACGCCTCGTGGGTGATCTGTCATTGTATAGCTACAATTATACATGTCCAATTGTTTTTTAAAGAGAAGCTGCTTTGATCTAATTCAAATCTGCCTTCGGGGCAGAGTCAGGAGAAGTGCAGCGGGAAGTTGATTTCAAATAAAGCAAAGCATGACAACCTGCTGCGGTTCAAAAGTTCAGGTGTCACAGCGTGGCTGCCGGGTGACTTCTGAGATAATATTAGCAACGCGTACAGTATATCACAATGCTCGCGTGATCCTGCCACAGCTCATTCAAAGGATGCATTTTAGTTCCAGGCTCGGGTGAGACAATTTCTCGTGTTTGAAATGAGTAGTGATGCTGTTATATTTTGCTCGCAGCCATGGATAGGTACCAGGTCTGTGTGAAAAAAACAAGTGCTTTGTATAGACTGTACATATAGATGGACAAGGCATCTCTGATTCCCCCCGCAATCCAGAAAGGAAGCGGAAATATCAAAATATCGGGGTTATTATTGGTGCCATCTTCAGCATTTAGAGCCAGAGCCTGTGCAGTAGCAATCAGGACTGGAGCTGTCATTAATACACACACACAACCAATCGTCAGTCAGTCTCAACAGTCAGTTATGAGGTTTTAACCTGTTTTTATAGCAGAATGAGATTGAGTGAAATTGTGGTGCAACAGTCTCCTCACTGCAGCATCAATGCTCCTGGTGCACTTTCGTTTCCATCCAGCTTCACAGCAGCAGCTTAGCGCCATCCTCCACTACTGTGCACAGCACCCGCCAGATGTGTGTGTGTGTGTGTGTGTGTGTGTGTGTGTGTGTGTGTGTGTGTGGGAGTGCTCATGCATCATGGCTGCCCTTTTTCAGGAACACACTTATTTATTTAGTTGTTCGTTTATCTCTCTCTTGCACATGAATCTTCCCATTTACACACAAAGAGATATATTTCCCCCACTCCAAACTTTCACCAGCCGTTGTTTGTCTTTGCTAGCACCTACAGTGCTTTGGCTCAGTCTATGTTATGAGTGACATCTCTGTAAAAAGGCTAAATGAATTCTCCTCTCACATAGGAAGTAACCGTTATGCCCCCACATCTTAAAAAGTACTCGTTCATAATTCGTTTCCCTCATGTAGGTACAAAATGATCACCTCTAATGGTTCTTTATTGTGCGTGGTCGATATAAGAAATTTCATTGCGAGCGTGATATTTTGCCATGGCAACAGTCCCTGCATTGTTGTTTGTCTTTATCTACCCGCTGAGTTTCAGTCTGCTTTGTTGAGTCCACTCATTCATCAAAAGGCATTAGGCGCATTTTCATATTCAGATGCCCAGCAGCACACAGCACAATAATGCCCAGGTGGCACTCACACCTTTTCACACGGTACGCCCCATGCATCATTAAACACAGGTTTGAAACCGTTACAGCTTTTGCAACCTGAAAAAGATTGTCTGCGTTTCACATTATGTCGCTCCTGCACTTGTGCGGCAGCGCAGCAGGAGCTCTGTTAACCTTCACTTTTACTGTTGTTGATTTTTTTAAACATGCTTGAACCAAGTATGAGTTCGTTGATTTCGCCATCCGCTCATTTGTGATATTTTCTTCTTTCTACTCGGCCTTGCTATCGTTATCTCGTTCACGGGTATCTTCATTGCATCTGGGAAACGCTCAAATGTGGCATTCCTGCAGGAAAGATTCCTCACAGAGACCATTTCCACCCTAACCCTCTCTCTCCGTGCTCTGTTTTCATTTGTGGCACTGTATCTGTCACTCTTACTTTTAAAAACATAATAAATGTCTTCCTGAAGAGACATTCATAGTGTTGCACTCTGTTGTAAATAAGGTAGAAACACCAAAGATTTGCTTTTAGTCAACATATGAAATCCTAAACCCGAGTTTTTTTTGGTGACATCAACTGTGTTCCCAGCTGTATGACAGGTTTGGAATTGAATTTGGGTTCTGTTTAGTTTTTTTATCACTGCACATGACTGTAATCAGGGGGAAAAAGCAACATCCACGCATGAGGGATGGGGTAACACCACCTTGGTGCAGCTTACAGTAACTGCATCGGGCTCAGGTTCATACACAAAAAACAGAGTTAGCTAAGAGTCTTGTTCAGTCTTTTCTTTCTTCATCTCAGAAAGCATACTTTAACTCCAGCCTCTCGTAAAGAACGACCTTGTGGAAAAGGGCCCAGTTTGTTCAGAAGAGTTAAAGGAATACCTTGACATTTCCAGGGTTTGGGTGTCATCTCTTCTCGGGCGGCTTGTTAGCGCTGCCAGTGCCTGTCGTCGCAGGCACGATGCTGTTCTCCCCCCTCATATAAATGAAGAAGATAGTGATAATGAAGAGGAGCCTGGTAAAATCCGATTTTCTGCTAATGAACACAACTTCCTGCCAAGTGGTGAAAAATATGCATCTAAGTGTCACGAACAAATGGTCAGAGCAGGGGCTTTGAGCCTTTAGAAATCTGCTTGATAAAAACATCAACAGAGCCTTTTCCGTTTCTCTAACCCTCGTGGCAAAATGTTCTGTGATAGGTCAGCGCTCCAGTGCATCATGACAGTCACACTATTGTCCTCGTACCAACATGTCACAAGCAGTAGACATCAAGAGCCTCGGCAAGTCGACAAAGGAGTATTCTTCATCCTGTCATGATTCAGGATGCATCCTTCTCGTCAGTTACGGACTGTCGCCTCCTACCTTTGTTATGAAGCCTGCTTTTGTGTCACTGATGAACCAAAACATTACAGCTGAAAGAAGTGCCATGGAAAATGCTCCGAATTAAATTGATATCCTTATCTGCATATGTATGATGTGAGAGGTGTAAAGTAAAACCAGTAGAAAACAGTTTATAATTCCCAGGTCATGAATTATAAATGTTTGGACGCGTACTGTCCACACAACTCAAAATCTGTGCAGTAGTTTTTGCAAAATCTTGCCAAATATCAGACGAACAAATTCAGACGAAAATGTTACCTCCTTAGTTGTTAGGATGCAAGTGTAAAACCATGTTGCACGTTTGTTAGATGTGTTGCACATTGGTGCACGTAAACAAGCAGGTATCAGATATGAAGAGGAACATCACAGAGCTTACCTGCAAACAGTGGGACTCCACAATTAAAAAGACAACCTCAGCTCCTGTTATCTCTGTCTTTTTTCGTTTCGTTCTTTGATGCACACCTCACATTCTGTAATGAGGTGACCGGAACCTCCCTGTTTGGACAAATGTTTGAAGTCATGTAGCTGTTCAAATTTGAACAGCTCGCAGCCGACTTAGTTTTCGTTTTACCAAGCTTGACTCATAAACTCGTAAAAACAGATGATTACTACATCAGTCTGCATCCGGGTTTAAATCTGATTGTTCCAAAACTGTTTCAACTTCGTCAAACAAATTGTCAGTCTCATATGTATTTGTTGTGTTATAATGGTTTAATGTGTCTTTTTTTTATTTGCTCGTGTTTTTGGCTCCTGTTTTCTCCTCTACAATGACAATTAAAGCTTTCTATTCTATCGCTATTGTGAGGGAGCAGGCAATTATTTAAACTTTCACAATCTCAGGTAAAATGACCAAAGCTGCAAAGAACATTACCAATCTGGCAAATCTCTTATGCCCCAGTTAATAAGGATTTTCTCCAATTTTAATCAAAGCATAGTAATTAGTTTCCATCGTGACAAACCCACCACTCACAACACCACAGGAGTTTGCAGCCACATCATTTCTCATGGAGGTTAGAACACGTAGAACAAATATTGTACATTTAGAAGTTGGATTTAAACATGACTCCAGAGGGAGGGTATATATTGCTTTGTGTCTGCTGAATATTATAGCAGGTAGCCATTTGCCACCATTTTGTTTTGCTGCCCTAGAGTGACTTTCACTGCACTTTAACACCATAAACAGCCACGGAAATGCTCCTGCTGGAAATGAGGTTAATGAAAGTACCAGTGTGATCCAAAAGATAACATTTTTATGCCATAAAAACCAAAACAATGAGCTGAAAGATGTTAAAACTTTATTATTATTCTCCATCGGTTCATCACTTAAAATGTATTTACATTACCAAATATGATGTATGCAATGTGAATAATTGTCATCGTAAGTATTTTTGTCTTAATTTGCAAATGCTAAAGGAAAGTTTTAGATTGTCATTTTCCTAAACGCTCCTCCAACAGCAGATGGTTTAAAACATCCATGTGAATCACTTTTGCTTTGCACTGTGCTTCCCCCTGCAGGATAATCCGGGAGCACCTCGGGGAGCAGGAGGTTTCCATCTCTCTGACCATCGACTCTCTGGAGGAGAGCGACTTCGGCAACTACTCCTGCTACGTGGAGAACGGCAACGGACGGAGACAAGCCAACATCCAGCTCGCTAAGAAAGGTGAGGCTAGCGTGCACACATACACAGATTTCTCAGAAAGCATTTAATTTTCCTAGCACGCAAATATAGGAGAGGGATGTAAAAGATCTTATATTTAATAATGGCATGTTTACAGCATTTTCAACGAGTTGAGGGATTTTGAGAAGTGACCAGTTGTTTTTCACCTTGGGGAGCTGGGGAAAAAAAGGAACTGTAGAAAAGCCTATTTGTCCACTTCTGCACGCACAAACATAAATTCACACACACACAAGCCCTCATCATCCTTTCACCGCCAACCTCTCACTCATCACTGGCCATTGTTGCCCTCTCCTACTTTTTCTTTTTATTCCTTCAAACACTTTGGGATTTTTTCCTCTTGATTTCACCTCAGACAGTTCGAAAGTTGACTCCTGGATGATTTTAAAAAGAGATGCACACTTTCACCACGGTTACATAAGTGATATTTTTGTTATTTTTCAGCGAGGCTAGAGGGGTCTCTGCAGCATTAAAGATGTCAGTGTTGAATACATTTACATAGTAGATATTTTTCCTCTCTTTTAAGCTCGCAGCTTTGGATCCAGCTTTGATGGCAGCCTAGTTCCCCTCCATTTGCTGTATTAAAGGGGTTCATGCTGCATAGACGGAGCTTCGAATGCACCAGAGAAGTTGAGCCTGGTCTTCACACGATTGTGGGCCTGTGGACCTGTTTCCCTGTTTTCATTTGCTGCATCTGCGGCGCAGCGTGAGGCTAAACCGTGTACCAAGTTTCCCTCGCTTGTCTCTTGAAGCTGTGATAGAAGCACACGACACTGCGAGCGAGTGTGGTCGTCTCAGCGTGAGAGTGTCTTTGCTGCTTTCTGTCCCATACACGCACACACACATGCGAACACTGAGCTGCGTAGCATCAATCGGAAAATGTCTCCACTTGTGTGTTTTTTGATATGTAGAGGTGTCCTGATTTACACTCCTACAACTTCTTGCAGTTGCAAAGTTGTAATTGGAACTTTCTTGCCTGTATGATAACATGACGATTCTTGGTTATGAGTGTGACAAGCAGCAGTTTCAGCCGTCACTTTTCTCCCTGCTGCCCCCCCTTTTTATTTTACCATCCAACCCCTACTCCACCTTTCCTCTCTCTTGTCATCCCCTCCCTTGACAGAGATGCAGAAGTAGTGGGAGAGAAAGGGGTGATGAATCTCCATCAAATCTGGCCCACTATTCATCAGGAGCTAATTTGTCTTAATCTGTCCCACTGCAGCGCCACTACAGTACAGATGCCAGGCAGAGAAGAATTGGCCTCCTCCGCTGTAATCTCTGCTGCTTGAAAAGCAGCTGGCTTGTAATACTGTCCAGAGATGTGGGGGGGGAGGGCAGAGTGGAGGCGGAGAGGGCAGAGTGGAGGCGGAGAGGACAGCGACGAGGAAGTCGAGTTGCTTGGAGCAGGCTCCTTCAAGTAGTTGTTAGCCGCAGAACCTTTTTTAGAAAAGAAAACAAATGCAGCTCGTTCCCAGGCTGAGGGAACAAGACGAGGAAGGCGGAGGCTCAACAGTCAAACCTGCGTTCACGTTGACCTCAGTTTGTTTGCACTCTTGTTTGTCCGTCAGAGAGTTTTCCTGAAGGTCATTGCCCGGACAGGCACGATGAAGTGGTGCGGGCCGCCCTCGTTAGCTCCCCCAGAACATCATCCTTTATCATGGGAGCTGTCAGCCTGATGGCCGCTGCAGTGTGATGGGCACCGCGTACTCCGACCGGTTTAAATGGGCGTCTGTGATGGATGATGATGCAGGCGAGTCCTCTCCATCCATGTTTATGTGTGAGCGAGGCATGCCTTCCACTGCTGGCCATTAGTTAGCCAATGAAGGCTGACCACCCCAATTCTGTGAGGCATAGCCAAGAGGAAATGTTGAACTGCGAAAGATAGAGTGACATCGAGAAAACGGCGTAGAAACGAAAGAAAAGGACCTTGGATAAGAGACAAGACCATGAAAAATAAAGCAAATGCCTTGATTTTCAAGGCGAGTCACTAGCCCGTGGAGCCTAATGTTAATACACTTTTGTGTATTGTGAAATATCACCTCTCATCCTCCTAAATAACTGTTGTTTGGCCTCTACAGGATAGTTTTACCTTGTGGATCTTCTTGAAAACAGTACAAATACCAGAATGAAAGTATCTGTCGTAACCCTGACATTTAAAAGTGTAGTTCCGTGACTTTAGCTTCCACCGATGCTTCTCCCTAGTTCACGTCAGGCTGCTGCAATGACGGATGGCTCGGAGAGTGGAGCACTTTGACCTGTCAACAAACAGGCAGTGCAGCTAACAGCCGGGAGCTCCGCACCTCAGCCCACGCGTAACCGATCTTCATAAGTGTGGCAGCTGGATCCGTCACATGCTATTCTCGCAGCCGCTGCCTCAATCTAAGTTTTTTATTATCCAATCAAGCCCGGAGGCATTAAGTGACAGGTATAGAAGTGGTTGTAGTTTCATTTCGGTTGGAGTTATGCGTCGGCTGGGTACAGTCTCGACACACTGATAAAGTAAGCGAGGAAGAAAAATGGAGAGGAAAAGCAAGGAAAACTGATACAGAGAAAGAACGAATATTGCCGCAGGAGGTGATTAAAAGCCACTTTCAAACAAATGTGGAGGTATCACAAAGTCATTTCACGACATGGAATCTTGTTACAGTCGCTGGCGCAGCTTATCCATCATGGCCCAATCGTGCATTATTTCACAGGTACTCATGTTCTGTGGTGGGATTTTGCTCAAACTGTAATCTAATGTCGAGGGGAGGTGTGGATACAGGCCAGCAGCCTCAGTGAGCAGAGAAATAAGATGGAGGAGAACGTTATGACATAAAACTGAGTCACTTGTTGAGTTTCTGTATCAGCTAAGAATGGATATGGTCTCACCCGGGGAGCTTAAGTTCCCTGAGAACGGCAGATTGATAATCATCGTGTCGCAATTTTCTGTCCAAACAAGACCCAGCCTGAGAAAAAAATGAGCAGAACCCAACAGGCCTTTCATTTTTTGTTTCCAGTCCCGTCCCAAACTCGACGCTGTTTTGGGATTACAGGAAAGACTGTTTGCCCGTCGGGCTCGTGTCAGGTATCTACACTGTTGCGATAACCCGATTGGCGTTGTACAGGAGACTGCAGCACCGCCATTGTCGGAAACCCCCTAACAAATCCCTCTACCACTAACTGTCTTTCTTTAGAGGTTTGGGTGGAGACTAGGATATCTAAAAGAGTGTGCGATGTGCGCGGGATGGTGGTGGGCATTTGCAGTTTAACTTTACAATTTAACGATTATTTATGTGTTTGTTTTTAATTGAGTGATGGGAATGATGAGGTTTGGAATCAAACTTTGTTTCTTTCAGAGGGGTCGAACTCCCTTTTGTCTGGCGTCGCCTTAGTCCCTTGAAACCTAATATAATAAGAAGCAAATTTGGTATGCTTTTCAAATCTGAAGTAATAATAATCTGAAAGTCTGCAGTACGTGGATAGTCACTGGCTGTAGACTGCAGTGAGAATCTGACACCTGCCATTTCATTTTTCACGCTTCTTTCTTTTTTTACATGATTAGCATGTCGCCTAATTCGACTGCTTCACTTGCTTGTTCTCTGAATTTCACTTAAATCAACTCCTCTCCCTCCGTCTCACTGTGTTTTAGCCGAGCTGATGTACACAGTGGAGCTGGCCGGCGGCCTGGGAGCCATCCTGCTGCTGCTCATCTGTCTGGTGACGCTGTACAAGTGCTACAGGATCGAGCTCATGCTCTTCTACAGGAACCACTTTGGCAGCGAGGATATAGACGGAGGTAAGAAGAGATAAGGCTCCAGACGTTGTTTACTTTACAACATTATAGAATAATCTCCCGTAATCTGTGACACTACAAAGTTTGTTGCTGGGTGGAGGTTTTCTAAAACACCTTCGGCTGCTTTAAAAACATCCTTTCTTTCCTCCGTAGGGATCAAATCCCACCTTGGCAGCTCTGCACGCATTTACTTTTACCCAGAAAACACCTGGGCTGGTCTCTTTAAGCGGCATGTGGCACTGTCTTTATGTAAATATTCATCTGTACTATCAGTCTAAATGAGTGGCTGCTACAGAAAAGAGCCTCCCATATTTTCTAGCTCATAAATTCTGTTGTCAGTTTCAGGGAATCTTCTCAACCCACTGGACGAGCTAAATCGAAAACTTTATGCAAAATATTCTGTAAACTGTCTCTTAAACGGCAGCGACCGAGTCACCAATCTTTGATGGCGCTCGCCTTCCTGTCACATCCGCGTCCTCGTAAAACCTAATCACAATCCAGCCTTGTGAAAATGTTCACGCTGGGTGCCGTTCCCTGACATCACAACGCATGACTTCTGGTTAATGAAGTTTGGATTTTACAAACAGGTCGCTCTCTGTTGTACTTTTTATCATTATATTTCCATCCCACAGCAGCCAAACACAGTCAGAAAAACTTAATTTCTTGTAAACCTTTTTTGCATATTTCTAGAAGCTGCATATCACGACTTTCCTTTTGCTTTGCACCCAAAGCAATTATCAACTGTTTAAAGTACTATGATACCTGGAAGGTTTTCTCAAGGATTTAATGTAAGGTTCATGCTCGCCATTCCTATCCTTGCTCACAATGGTGCATCAGACGATACCTCATTTCCACCTGCAGTCAAAAATAATGTACTATTGATGCTGCAGCTTAAACCACATTGTGTTGATTATTGAAATGATTCTCTGGGATGTGTTGTATCTTTGACTAATGAACGTCGAAAAAGAAACAGCAACGTTGTGATTCTGGACATCTTCTGTTGAAGCTTCCCTGTGTGTCAAATTGCACACGAGAAAGTACAGGAAGCGAAAGGATGATATATTCTGCTGAACTCCCTCGATAAAGCAAATCAAAACAGAGTCCCTGTACCACACCAAAGCTTTGACTCTGAGGCTCCATCAGCACTAGTGAGAGAAAAAAAACCTCTGATTGGGCCTGGTGGATCCGTCTTGGCTTGAGAATTCATCAAACTAAGACAAGGAGCAAGTTTTAATTTGATTCCCCTGTAATGAGTCTCTAAAGCACCAGCGCTGCAATGAATTCAGGGGGAATGAGATTAGTTTGGAGAGGCTGAGGGATCGTATGTAGTGGAAAGAGAGACAGCGAGAGAGTTATGAGTGTTAAAAGGTAAAGAGTGTGGACCCCGCTCCTCTCCTCACACACTCCCAGATCTGCCTAACCATGATGCCTGCTACATAACACACTTCGATGAAAGTCATCACCTGCGGCTGTGTTGGGCTTCCGGCCCCAGAGAGCCAAGCGTTGCCGTAATGGATGACCCTGAGGCGGTTGTGGAAGACAAAAGGGGCGAAAAAAATGTTGGGCCTTGAACCTAATGCCAAACAGCAATTGTCTCATTTAATTGTACCACCCAAGTGACTGCTTGAAGAGAGAAACAGATTTTCAATTTGTCCTCCAGTATAAAGTGGATCAGGGTCAATAAGACACAGCACGCTGCCTCCAGAGCTCTCAGGAAACCCCCCATACTTTCCTCCACACCACGGTCGATTAGAGCACTTCACTGCCCCCCCTGAGGCATCGGAGTTCCAGAGTTCCGCAGAATATGAAAAGCACGTGTAGGACCCGAGGAGCAGGTGCATATGATAGTTACCGAAGTGGAAGTAGACGCGAGTTCAGTAGAGACAAAACGGTCGCTAAGCAATGGCAGGAGGTGGTTAACAGAGATCCCATCTCTATGGTAACCACTGCACTGACAGGGAGAAGTCAGTTATAGTTACATACCAACACACACACTTATTTTCATCACTAAACCCCTTAAGCCAGCTTCCAAGAAAGTGCTCATGTTTTTGGGGCTGCTCGAAGAACGCCTGCCTCCCTCTTGTGCCAGATGTGAAACTGTAAGCTTTAAATAACAATAGAAGATGGACTATCAGCTATTTGTCAGCGGCACAATTTAGTTAAAGACCCCTCAGTTGTCACATTGTGTGGGCGTCAGTGGAATCAATAATAGGCTTCATAATGACAACGGCCGCGCTGGCTTGTCAGGGAGGTGGGAACTCATCAACGCTCTGCCATAAACGCGAATGTCAGCGTTGTCAGCGCGGTGTGGAATTATGAGGCTGCTTTTGTGTAGCCGCTGTTGTTCGGTGATACTAAGCATTAATGATTTTCACATCTGACGCTGTAAAGCAATCCCGGTTTAATGCAGAGGTAAACATCACCAAGAAGGTCAAGTGTCGTCTTGATGTTTTTCCCATCTGAATTGTTTTTTAAAGGAAATGACCCTACAACACTCAGATATCAGATTATTAAACACTCCTAGCAGAAACTAATTAAGCTTAATGTATCGCAAATGTTTTACTCCCTCTTTTCAGTATCGGCATCAACCCCTAAACACCCATATTGGTTGGGCTCTAATTATTAGTGTAATCCATTATAGTCAATAATTACTTACATGTACCTAGGAAACTAGCAATTGCATGTATGTGAGAAAATAAGTATGTGTGATAAACACCAAACCCGAGGACCACAATTTTAAAAATGTAATTACTGCATCTCAAAGGCGGTCACCTTCCCACTGTCTGATGTAAACCCATACTCTTCTGGGTAAATTAAATTATGAAAAACAAAATGGGATGATTAGAAAAAAATAAAGTGCTCGTCTGCTCATTAGCAGTCTTCCTCGTGTGCTTTTGTAGCTGCGGAGTTAAGTATTTTTGTTACGTTCCAATCTACCCTCCATTAAATGTAATGGAGCCCCGAGATATCCCAGAGATTACGCCTCCAACTCTCTCGGCGCTCCCCACTGTAAGATCAAGAGTTCACTAACTAACTGTGGGCTCTATACACACATGCATAAGTCAACCCCTCCCCCCTCCCTCACGTGCCGCGAGCGTCAGTCGAGCGGACCCTCTTGCAGTCGGCATGCGGTTTTCGTCGATGTGCTGCACCCTCAGATACAGTCGCTCCTCGAGAAGCAGGAAGGTCATTCCACCTTCGAGATCCACCCTCACCCTCAAACTCCTCGCTGCAGACGAGTGATTCAGCCGCACCGAAATAGCTCTTGATCTGCCGACACAGCTTTTGTTTAAAAGCCAGCAGGAGAAAAACAGCAAGAGGGAGATTTATGTTAGCATCAAATGGAATATAAGCCTCAGAGTTATACTAAGTGATTACGAGGTTATATTCTAATTATTTTTTCATGTCCCCAATGTTGTAAAAATGAGTTGCGTGTTCTAAAAACTAGGTAGATTAATTACATGGTGTCATGTAAGAGTGGCGATCGCCCTCCGGGAGGTGTGTGTGTGTCTCGTAGCCCAGAGAGAGGAAAGTGGAGAGGATATATAAAGCTCTGAGAATTTATTCCAAAATACCTCCTCTTGAACTGTGCTCCTCTGCTGTTTTCTACACAACTTAATCACTTTCAGTGTCTGGACAGGTTAAGCAACCTCTCACCCCCACACCCATCCCCCATGGCTCCTGCCGCAGACGTAATGAAGACAGGAAGTCATACATCTAAAACCATGCTCGTGTCTCTAATGAGTTTATCTCATATGCTGCGTTCACACTGCAGCTCAGTGTCCCAGTTTTGATTTTTTCCTTTTTTTTTGTGACACAGATATGAGGGTTTTAGTGAATAAAGAAACACATAGAATGGGATATTTTCTTATGAATATGACATGCATTGTGTCTGGTTTGTGGCTGAGAAACTGCACTTTCTTCTGCAGATTGCGGTTTAATCTTTAAAACCTGGTGGAGTCTGCATTACGGATTAGAGTGTGGCTACCCGAGCCGACCCTGTCAGGACCTGTCATGTGAAATCTTAATCTGTTCTGGGTCATGTTGGCTGGGATACTTGA